TCTTGTATAGTCGTATTATAATGGCTTCAGCCCATTCCTTTACCATTGTCTTCTGTTCCCATACGTCGTGAATAATTTCATGTAACCATTCAGCGACACAATGACCGCCCGCTTTTAGGAGTTCCGCTGGTACATCGTCTTTTCCTGGAGCTTTTTTATTTTTTATTTGTCCAATTGCCTTTACAACCTCATCAAGAGTTGGTACATCGTCCTGTCGAGAAAGCTCTTCATCATCAACTGTAGGTCTTGGAATTTGTTGTAAAACTTGTTCGCTTACTGTTGTATCAACGTTGAGCATTTCATCGAAATACTCTTTCCATTGATTCAATTGATCTTTACTGTTTGTTAACGTTAAGCCGTTCTTATCCTGGATTGGTATGTGATTTATGCTTGGTCCATTTCCACGTAACCTTCGAATGATTTGAAAAGCAGTTGTTGAATCGTGTACTTTGACTACATTTTCTATTTCTATGCTTAACTCCTCCCAATATTCATGTTGCCTAGCATATACTTTGTTTTGTACTATTTTTGCCAACGTTCGGTATCTGTTTCTATATTTCTTCTCGTTGGTTGTATTACGGTGCAGTTGCCAGTCTACATATGCTTTAGCTTTTTTATCAACAATTTCCTTTAGTTCGGGTGTGAACCATTCTTTTCCGCCTTTATGAATGCTTTTATTGTTTCCAAAGTAGTGTCTACCACGTTCTCGAACACTGTTAACAAAATTTGTAAACTTTCCATTCACCGATAAAGTTTTATTATCGCCCCGAATGGCTTTGCTTTCATTCGCTAATTCAATTCGGAAAGCAGAGAGTAAATTATTATCTGTCAATTTTGATTGATCAAGTCTTATCCGATATTTTTTCTCTGCTTTTTTACGACATTTCAGATGTAAACGAATTTTAGCTCGTAATAAATGATGATCTGTTCCAATACCACCAGTAGCACCTCTATGAACTCGTACATCCTGTACACTAGATCGAAATTTACGATTAACTAGTACATAATCTAACATGTGCCATTGTTTTGTTTTTGGATGCATCCATGTGCCTTGATGGACTGTTTTATGTGGGAAGAATGTGTTAGTAACTATAAAGCTATTAAATAAACAGAAATCGACTAGTCGACGACCGTTTTGATTTTGTTTGTCAATAGCATGCTTACCGACAGTTCCTCCAGCTGTATTGGCCTGTTCTACTCCAACACGAGCATTAAAATCACCCATTATCATAATCATATCACTCTTATGAGTTTTATCTATTGTTGCTTGTAGAATTTTACAGAACTCATCACAAGTTTCAATACCATTTTTTACTCCATTCGAGGGATTTATGGGTGCATAAACAGCTATGATGGTAATTGGTACAGGTCGACATTCAATACGTACAGTTACAATTCTTGAACT